TTCGCCCGTACCACCGCCAAGGTGGCCGGCCCCGACGGCGAGCTCTTTTGGGGTGAACTCTTCCAGTTGGCCGCCCTACCACCCGCCCGTGCCCTCACCCTGGCCCTTTGCCGCGATGACAACCCCGGTCAACCGGTGGCCTCCATCACCGTCCCTTTGGCCGAGCTGGCGGCCGCCCGGCAGCCCTTGGAGCGCTGGTACCCGCTGAGCGGTCCTGGGGGAGGCGAGCGGGTGCCGTCAGTGAGGGTGCGCGGGCGCTACCGGGAGGGGCGGGTGCTGCCCATCGTACGCTACAAGGAGTTGGCTGAGTTCATCTCCTTCCATTACCGGGAGTTGTGCGCCTGTCTGGAGCCCACCATCGCCGTGCGGCACAAGGAGGAGCTGGCCGGTGCTCTGGTCCGCGTCTTGCAGAGCACCGGGAAGGCCAAGGTGGAGCGGGTGCTGGCCACAGGGGATGTGGGGAGAGTGGGTGAGGGCAAGATGGGTGCTGCCTGGGGTGCTGTGGGCATGGTGGTTGGGGTGGGATGGACATCGTGGGTTGGGGGTGCCAGGAGAGCTGGGGTGGATGAGTTGGGTTGGATGGGTTGGGTTGAGTTGGAATGGGATGGGATGGGAGAGTTGGGTTGGGTTGGGATGGATTGGGATGGGATGGGTGAGTTGGGTTGGGATGGGGTGGGGTGGGATGGGTGAGGTGGGATGGGAGGGGAGGGGATGGGATGGGGTGGGATGGGATGGGATTGGTGGGATGGGATGGGAAATGCAATTCAGGGGAGCGCCAGGAGATCCTGGCACTTCCCAGGGTGGGTTGATCAAGGCCGTTTGGGGCCATGGGTGCCTGCCGAGCCCTTCAACATGTCCACCTGGCAGTCGTTCCTCATCGACCTTGGTGTGGCCGAGCTGGACCGCTTCGATGACCGTGAGGCGCTGATCTTCCGTGAGAACACGCTGGCCACCAAGGCCATCGATGAGTACATGAAGCTGGTGGGGGGCAAGTACCTCCAGGACACGCTGGGTACGTCTGAACGTTACAGGTCTTTGTGGGACATTACGGGGCGTTCCGGGGTGCAGGACATCCTGGGCATGACATTACAGGGTGCTACAGGGGGTTACGGGGCGCAGGGCATGGGCTGTAGGACACCCCCAGGACATCCATGGGGATGTGGTGGGGGCTTGTCACAGCCATGGCCACGGTGGTGGCTGGTTGGTCCCCTTACGGGCTGTCCCTCGGTGCCCAGGGGAGGCCGTGGCCCAGCTCTGCACCTCGGATGATAGCTGCGAGGTTGATCCCGGCAAATGCGCCGGCCTTGACCTCTCCGACAACCAGAACAACCTGCGGCAGGTCTGCGAGGAGACCTTCCAGCGCATCGCTGCGTCCTGCGAGTGAGGGACGGCCCTCGCGTGGGCATGGGGTTGGGCACGGGGATGGCCACGGGGGT